AAAGAGACAGAGGGGAAAGAGAGACACCAGAGAGAACCTTTTGGGCCCTGTGGTCACCAGCCCACATTCAGCTTAGGTGAAGATCCACATACACCCCTCATGCCCTGGGCTGTAAGAGGCTGCTGTTGAACAGTGAAAGAGCAGACCGTGGGCTTGGAGAGGTGCTGGAGGGGACCTGTTTTTCCTGGGATATCCAGGAAACTGGCATCTCTGGGCTGGGAAGGGGAGGCTGGCTCTGTAGGCATCACCTCTGCCTTGCGTGCTCCCAGCCAGCTCCTTCAGAGCACTCTGGGGACTAGGCAGGGCTGGGGAAACTCCTTTGGCCCTCAGTGGTGAGCTCTGGGCAACTATTTTTGCTCTCTTGGAAAAGAACCTTCTCTTTTCCATAGCGAACGATGTCTCTGGGAGCTGCAGACAATGGGGCTTCTTGGCTTTGGGTGTAGCTTGAAACCAAAAACTGTTGGCAGCAGCCAGCAGCTCCTGGCAAGCACGAGGGAGCTGCAAACACGGCTGTGGCTGTTTGTGTGCCAGCTTCCAGGGCCAAGCTGACCATGCTGAACACCATGTCCAAGATCCGTGGGCAGGTGAAGAACCCCGGCTACCCGCAGTCGGAGGGGCTGCTGGGGGAGAGCATGATCCGCTACGGGAAGGAGCTGGGCGACGACTCCAACTTCGGTGAGTGCCCAAAGCACACCCCAGGTGGGAGCCTCGGCAGGGCCGAAGCTGCTGGGGCTGCAAGTTCAGGAAGGGGTGTTGGGAATCACCCAAAAGGGCTTGGGGGGTGCTTAAAAGGAGACTACAAGGATGCTGGAGAAGGACCGTCATCAGGGGCTGGAGCGGTAGAACAAGGGGTGATGGGTTCAAAATGGAACAGGGGAAGTTCAGGTTAGATCTAAGGCAGAAGCTCTTCCCTGGGAGGGTGCTGAGGCGCTGGCACAGGGTGCCCAGAGAAGCTGTGGCTGCCCCATCCCTGGCAGGGTTCAAGGGCAGGTTGGACACAGGGGCTTGGAGCAACCTGCTCTAGTGGAAGGTGTCCCTGCCCGTGGCAGGGGTTGGAACTGGATGAGCTTTTAAGGTCCCTTCAACCCAAACCAGTCTGATTCTATGAAAGACTTCCACCCGGGGCAGCAGGGAAGGGGTGAGCAGTGTCCTGGATCCCAATCCATGGCATTACGTGCAAAACCACCTCTTAATACTTTCTTATAAACACTGAGTTAAGTTTGCATGTAGGAAAAAATGCTGCCTTGCTTCTGAAGTGACTAACGGCGATGTGGAAACTGGATTGAGCGAGAGTCAGGGGGTTATGGAGCAGCTTCCAGCCAGAGCCCTGCCACAGGGAGGCTGCAGCCAAGAAACCCTTTTGCATGTGACTTGCAGGGAGGAGGAGGAGGAGGGTGAAGCTTTTTGGTGACATCAATTTTAATCCACTAGGACATGAGCCTGTGCACGTGACGGCATGGGTGCAGTGCACATCTGTCCCATGGCTTCCAGTGCAGGGAGGAGCTTCCTTGCATCAGGAGAATGGAAAAGCTCTGGCTACTTTGTGGGAATGTCAGAGGATTCTCCAGAGTGTCTCTGGCCCACTCGGAGCCCTGTAGGAACTGGAGCTGTGACAAGAGGAAAGGAAGCTTTTAGCAGAACACACCAAACCTGATTTCCTTTAATAGCCTCTCTTTAAAGCACCACTTAACCTGATATATGCTCATGTTAGGACTGCATCCCTCCCTAGGATGCCTTATCTACAGTGACCACAATTGAAAGGACTCTCTTTGTGTAGTTCTTTTTCCAGCTGGACAGTGAAATGAGGTTTCACTTTACCCTCTGTTTCACTTGTGTACTCTCCTGTGCTAATGGCATGCTGGAACGGTTGGCTTGCCAGAGCTGCACAGGAATAATTTCATCCAGAAATGGTTTCCACTGGTATTAAAAGCCAAGAGTAAATCTGCTTTGCTGCAGCTTCAGTGGCATTGTGGTAGAAGCCTTAGGAAAGCATGAAATGAAATAGGTTTCAATGAGCGACTTTGAGCTCTGGAATTCAGAAGAGAGAAGGTTGGCTGGATAGAGGTTAGTGTCTGAAGTGGGGAAAAGGCTGCAGGTTTGCCGCCAGCAGCTGGGGAAACCTGAAAAGTTGGTCAGAGCACTCAGGGCTTCACAGTGTCCCAATAAAAGGATGGATCAGACGGAGCACACCCGTGCCCTGGGCTCCTCTTGCCAGCAGTGGCCAAGGAGCAGGGCAAGGTTAAAGCCCTTCACTGCCAATTGGCAGCTCCACAACTCCCTGAGCTAAAAGGGAGCTTGAAAATGCTGCTTTCAAAAGTATTTATCCCTTTCCCTTCTCCCAGGTCCCTGGTAGAGATTGTTGCTGCTTTGCAGAGTTACAAATGAAGCATGTTAGTGAAGTGTCTTGGGTGGAGTTGGTACCAAGAGGCCGTTGCCAGCTCTCAGGCCCTTTGCTCTGTGCCAGGCTGGGAGGTTTGCTCCAGAGAGGAATGGGGGGCACTGGATGGGGGACAGAATGGCTCTGCATGCAGCCAGCACCCACTGGGCTGTTTAACTGGCTGGCCCCTTCTCCCTTCCTCTTCCCTTCCTCTCCCCACTGGCAGGCGATGCGCTGCTGGATGCTGGCGAATCCATGAAGCGGTTGGCTGAGGTGAAGGACTCACTGGATATTGAAGTCAAACAGAATTTTATTGATCCCCTCCAGAACCTGTGTGACAAAGACCTGAAAGAGATCCAGGTAACACCACCCTGGGTCGCTCTCCTCCTCATCCCTCTTGTTTCTGGCCTCTTCTGGCTGTTAGTAACACGTAACGCTGGCTCCGCCATGGTGAGAACCAAGGGCTCACACAAGCAGCAGGTCTGTTCCCTGCACTGTGTGTGCCTTCTCTCTCCACACTCACCAGCATTCCCTCCCTGCTCAGCACTGCAGCTGCTCCTGAGCAGCTCCTAAGGCTGGATGCAGGTTTGAATGGTTCTTCATTCACCATGTTTTGTGGAGGTTACATCCCAGTGTGTGTTCTGGCCGTGCTGAGTTTGGTTCTTTGTGCTGTGAGCTCCCAGCCCTGTTGCATTTGGGCTGCATGGCATTATCCTTCACAGTGTTCTTTACAGCTCTTGGCTCTATTCTGTCAGTAGCCTGGATGCTGTAACATAATGCCCAAGCTAGGAGCAAGCTTCCCTCTAGGTCTCTTATGCAGCATCTCAAGAAGCTCTTGAGTTGTCTCGCTGGGGAGACATGGAGCTTGGTAGCTGCCATGTGTTAACCACAGAGCCAGGTCTGTGCCAAGCAGAGCCAGGGCTTTGCAATAGGATTCATCCCAACCTGTACGTCACCAGACAGCTCTCTCAAGTGAATTTTCACTTAGGGTGCTGCCCCAGATAAAATAACTGCCAGCTCCTGTTGCAGGACTTATCTGTGCTCCAGTTCTGCAGGCTCTCAATTGAAACAGCCCTGCCCTGAGCACTCAGGGGATGCAGTGCCCCGAACCTGCCTCCCAATTCCTCATCTCCAGACATCCTCACAGCTCCTGGGGAGCTGAAAGTGGCACTCCAGCCCCTCGCCATGCAGAGGGGTTTGCATGGGGAGCACACCCTGCACTGTGTGGAGGGGGGTGAAATCACATTGATTTGTCAAGGGCTGTTTCTTAGTGCAAAGCCCCTGCAGCCACAGCAGTAAATCCTCTGCCAGGCTGGGTTTGGACAGTCCACTCCTCCCTGCCTTGCAGCTCTCCCAGGGCCTCTCTACCCTCTGAACAAAGGTGGGAGCCACAGAAGCTGTGCTTTGAGGTCAAGTTTCTGACTTACATAACCACCTTCTTCCCAGCACCATCTCAAGAAGCTGGAAGGCAGACGCTTGGACTTTGACTACAAGAAGAAGCGCCAGGGCAAGATCCCCGATGAGGAGCTTCGACAGGCCATGGAGAAGTTTGAAGAGTCCAAGGAAGTAGCAGAGACCAGTATGCACAACCTCCTAGAAACTGATGTGAGTGCCTGGGAGGGGCTGTGTGTTCCCGTGTACACGAGGGTGGGATCTCTCAAGGGACACACAAGTTAAACACTCGTTTCCACTCTCATTCGTGCAAGTGTGGGGTTGCTC